CAAAAAACAAAGGCAGAAGCAGTCCAGGTTGTTCTGGGATTCATCGGCTGCTCCAGGACATCACGCCTGCTGGCAAGAGATGGCTACCTATCCTGTGTACTTATCAGGGAAAATCAAAAGATGCAAACTAGATTATTTTCTTGAATTCATCTTGCATGGTATGATGCAGTTAAAAGGAAACAAACCTTTAATTTTATTTCTTTGTTGCGGTGCTGGTGCTTAGACTGGTGATGGATCATGACTTGAGGCAGGGGTTTGTATATGGCAGCATGTGGTGTCTGAATCAATTCTCCTCCTTCATGGTGAAACATTCTGAAAAACATGAGTTTGCTGCAGCAGTGACATTATATGGTTACCTCGATAAGTAGCACTTGTCTCTTCTTGTTGTCATTCAGGAATGTTTGGTTTTTGTTTTATTGACAACTAGCAAAAATAGCCCATCTGGAAAGTGAAATTTTAGTTTTAGAACTCCTCAAGATTAAATGTTAAAGTCACTAAAAATGGTTGAAAGGTTTTCAGCAAATCTGTTTTCTTTGGCTTTTAAGTATTCTGAAGTTTTAAGAAGTTTTTAGTTCCTCTTCATACTGGTCTGTTCCTGCTGCCCTGATGACTCTGCATTGCTAACAGGGGCAGACCAGGGTTCTATTTTGGATTGTAAATCACCAACAAGCTGGTTTAGAAAGGATGTAGACATACAAGTGAATTAATTGCTTAATTACTCTGCTTCTGCTGTGATGAGCTGACTTCTTTCACTGTGTAAACTGGGTAAGCTAAGGGTATCTCAAAATTAAGGAATGCCAAACTGAGCTGAACTGATTTGCAGTTAGGATGGGACAGTTGCAGATCAGGTGAGCTGCATGGAAGAGGGTGCAAGTAAAACTGTTATTTGATCCCTGAATTCTAGGTACCCTTCCCCTGCACAGCCCAGGGTTGAAAAGAAGTCATTGTTGGCCAGGTGTTTATTGTGATTAGCACACAACTTAGATCACGCAGAGTTTGCAGGGCTGATAAATGAGAAATAGTAACTCTTTATGTCTGTGGTGATCAGATTTTTAAAGTGCATTTCACTTAACTGAACCTCAGACTGCTACCTCTGCAAAACTTTCTCTCTATTTGCAGCAGAGCTGTTGACATCAATTTCAGTGGCAGGTTTATGGGAGGCTGAACTCTCCTGTGATTTCAGAAATGACAAGCTCAAGCCCTGCAGTCAAACTTACCTAGCATAAATGTGTAACCTTCCCATTTGCTAGGGAATGTGTTCAAGTGTTGCCTTGTTTTTAACATCAGAAGTAACTGGAAGAAGCAGTGGAAAAGACGAAATGATGCTTCTGAAGAGCAAAACTATTATAAAAATGTTTTTAGCACTCCAGATGCAAAGTGGGTGAAATTCAGTATCAACGCAACACGCTATGAGCAGTGGAAGAAGTTTTGTCTGGTTTCAGAGAGAATCAATCTGGCCATGGGAGCTTTGTGGATCAGTAGAAACTACTGCCACCCCTCTGCAGGCAAAAAAAACCCCAGATCTCTAAAATGTCTTCTTGTAGCCCTGCAGACTTGTCCCTTTTGTGTAAACATACTGCGTGTAGTGCTTCATAGTGTGAAATCCTTCAGTGTTGAATTTGGGAGGAGAGAATTGGCCTTGAATGTTTCTGTGATTTCTGTTCTACTTTTTATTTCTTACATTCATTGTTGTAAATTGGGAGAAAAGTCAGAACATGGTGAATGTATGACCTGATTGTTTTTTATATCTTGGGAGAAAAAAGTGTTTGCTTCTGTGCTAGCCCCCTTTTTCTCATCACATAAGTGAAAAACAGTATATATATCTTTGGAATCAGAAAAAAAAGATCTGTTTGCTGCTGTTTAATTTGGTATTAATAGCATTAAAAGGCTGTATTTTTTAAAACATAGTTTTATATTAGCTTTATATATACTTCTTTTTATATAACTGTGTGGTGGAGCAAAAGGAACACAGTCATGTTTCAGATCTTTTAAAAATCTGAACTCATCTTGTGTGCTTGAATACAGAACATAGCTTTGATTAGGATGAAAGATAAATTTCAGAAAGAAACTTAACTGTCTCCATTTTTCACCCTCTGGTGAAATATGTCTGCTATGCTTCAGTGTCGAATGGCAGCAAGTATGTGGCAGAATGAACAGCAATGCTCTGCCTGCTGAAGTTGGGCAGTTGAAAAGGTAAGGGGATCAAAAAAAGAAAGCAGGATGCTGGATCAAGGCTTTTGCTGAGCAGAGGTGCTCTCTTGTGTTTAGGATTAAGCTCAATTTACAGTACCATTTTGTGGAATGTTATCACTACTTTAAAAATGCTATTATATTAGGTTCCTTGAACTAGGTGAAGCCAGAGATTAGGGCTAGAACAACATGCAAATGTTTTATCCAAAAGGAAAACACAGTAAATGTTTCATTGTATAGTCTTAATTTTTAAATAGTTTCACAAGAGGTGCTTATTTGTTCGTGGAGTAGTAAGTTGACACTATGACAATGAAAAATTCATACTTTCCACCTTCTTTTCCTATTCCACTGTGCTGTGTAACTCCTAGAGTGAAGGTGTTTCTGACTTCAGACAAAGTATTTCAGCCATCTCAAATGTAATTTCAAGTACTCAGTATTTTTGTGCTTCCTTTTAAGTTAGTGTGAGTGTTTGATAATTTTGATCGTTGAATTCTCAGACCATCTTTATGGGACAGCACTGGTGTCCTAATTTTACAAATAACTACTTTGTCTTGCTTCCCTAAGTGGTTTGTTCAAGGTTACACGGGAATCCTCCAGTGGAACAGGGAATTATATCCAAATATTTGAAGTTTAAAACTTGAAATCTGATTTCTGGATTACCCTCCTATAGTAGAAATGAGAGACCTATACTCTTCTTGTTGTTCTGCTGAAATTAATGGCATTATCATAGAATCATAGAATCATAAATTGATTTGGGTTGGAAGGAACCCTGAAGATCATCTAGTTCCCACCCCTATGCACGGGCAGGGACACCTCCCACTAGGTCAGGTTGCTCAGAGCTCCATCCAACCCCCTTGAACTCTTCCAGGGAGGGACCTTCCACAAGTTCCCTGGTCAAACATATTCCGGTGTCTCACCACCCTCACGCTAAAGAATTTCTTCCTATTAATACCCTGATTTTGATCAATGCTTTTAATTCTGTTTATTGCTTCTTTTTCTTTTTAGGCATGTACTGGTATTGAAAATATTGATGAAGCTATAACATTGCTTGAACAAAATAACTGGGATTTAGTGGTAAGTATTCTAAGAAAATGACTTCCTAGATCAAGTTCATGTAACAGGGATGTGCTAACTTGCTGAGACAACTGCCATCTTTATTTCAAATTTGGGTGTGACTTTTATGGCTGGGGCAAGCAAGTCATATACAGACTTTCTGGTTTGTTAAAGCCTCATTGCCAAGTAAATGTGATACTGAGTTGTATATACCCTGATATGCTCTGCTTGTCTTCGTGCCTTTTTCAGTTGTTTCTTTTCCTTTAAATTGGTGTTTCATGTTGTGTTTAGTTTCCTTTTTGGTTAATTGTATGCATAATTTTATAAGCAATATAATTAAGAGTAGCATTTTTAGAGGACATCTTGTGTACACAAACAAGATTTTTGAGCTTTTAAGTATCTGTGGAGGAAATGAAAGGTTAAGCAACTTCTTCAGTCTTTCATGTTCTCCTAGTTTAAAAATGAGAGAGTTGCTTTTCTGTTGTTAGTTGTTATGCAGAATTGAATTGTAGATTAAGGCCATACCTTATTTAGGTTTGATGTTATCCAGACATCATTTAAGACAAACAAAAACCCCCAAAAAAACTCGTCCTAAAAACCCCTTTCATCTACATTGTAGGAAGGTTCAGTGTGCAGGGAAGTAGGAGGAAACCAGTAAAACCTACCTGTTTTTTAATTAACATTATGAGGATAACTAAGGGAACTATGAATCCATTTTCTTAACTTTTGAAAGTGTAAAATAGAGCAAATGTAACTAAAAAGACAAGTGATGTTCCTTTAAACTCTAACACCTATTATTTCCTCTTTTTTTTTTTCCTAATGAGTGATCTTTGGACAAGTCCAAATTATAAAAAAATTATTTAAAAGAAAGATTTTTCAAAATTGACACAGTTTCAACTTCCTGCCACTTTGGGTTCCCAGCGTCCTGTTTGAATGTTCTGTTTTAGTAATTACAAACTAAGTATCACAGACGGTATGGTGGGGTTTTAAAGTGCTAGAATGAATACTATGTTTCTTTTGAGTCATAAAATGACCTGCCATATTGTAACCTATTGCAAGCAAACACTATGTACTCCAAACACTTGAAACTAAATGTTCAAAATGAAGGTTGGCCCAAGTATCCAGTGTCTTTGTTTTGCAATATCGTGGTGTAACCAAGAATGAAACACAAGCAGAAGGGAGGGAGTAATCCTTAGTGCCTTTAAACAGGAAAACCTAATTGTAAGTTGATAGAGTGAAATAGTAAAAAACCTGGTTTTTGTTGTACTAGCCTGTTGTGACTTAGCATGGGCTGTTTTGAAAATTGAAGAAACAAGATTTATAGGACTTTGTTCATGAATCATGAAGGCAGTGAAGTAGTGATGATTTTACTAAGGGTTTCTCTGTCATTCTTTGACCACAATCAGTTAGATAATCACTGTCTTCTCTAATTTCACTGTGTGTCTTATTCAGAGGCTTTTTTCAAGGTCAAGTTTTTGATAAACATGACGCATAGTGGTGAAATACAGTCATACAGATGTTCAGTGCTTTTTCATGTATTGATTGATTTACTTCCTTTAATATGCATATTTCTTTACTTCCATGATTTTGGAAATAAAATCAGAGCTCTGTAATTGATCAGGACAATTTCTGTGAGGCACCCAGGCTGATAAGAAGTAGAAAGCCAACCAAGTCCCGTTAGCATCAACCTAAGTTCAAGGCCACTTCTGCAGCGTTAGGGAGAAAAAAACCCCAAACTAAGAGCAAAATAAAAACCCAACCAAGCAAAAATAAATAAGGAACTTCTTGTCTTGAACAGATTGCAGTTCCTGTTGGACACTGCTTCCAAGAGTCAACTGACAAAAAGCATTTCTACATCTTGGAAAGAGAAAATTGTATATCTTGAACATCTGTTTTTCTAAAGCTTCAACTCTCAACTATAGTTCTTTCTTTTGATTGGATAACTTGCACAGAAGATGAGAGTTTTTTTGCATCTTGCTGTTTAAAACCTCTTAAAAGTAGTTTTTTTTTTTGTCAGATAGAATTTTTTTAAATATAAGTGGCCATTTTGTTTATATATTTAGATTTACTTCTGTGTAATGTTGTCTTTTGTAAAGAAAGAAGGAAAAAAAAATGACAGAAAAAAATAGATCGGAGAAAAGTGATCTAGGGCTTTGCAATCTTTCTTTATTTCTGTTGGAGGTGCCAGCTTAGGTGGGATTCCTGGGAAATTTCCTAGGATTTCCTAGGAAAGTAGGCCACTGGCTCTTGAAAGCTATCAACAATCTGTTATTTGTATCTTCTGTTGCTTACTAACCATTAACTTAGTTCTTTTGTTATACTGTGTAGTAAATCTCAGTGCAACTCAGTAAAAAAATAATACTCTAACAATGTCTTTTGTCTCTTTGAAATGGCTTACCTTGGAAGAGCTTGGATATGGGATCTCTTTATATGTTGTTGTTTGGTTTTTTAAATCAATTTGAATTAGTCTCTCTCCAGAAAGTAGGTGATTAAATTTGGCACAGGGCCATTGTTTTTCCTTAAATATGGGTATGTATTGTCATATGTTTAGCAGCTGTCTTGCTCTGTTCCAAGTGGGTTGTGTTTCAGTGGCTGGAGAACCAGGACTGCATATTATGGTGAGCATGTTCCTCACATTGGCCCCTTTTGTCTCCTATTGTTGGTCTGCTGATTTCTTTACTTCAGAGTTGCATACTGAATACGGCACACATCTGACAGCACTCACTATGGGGACTAGTGAGAGGTTCCTGGTGTGCTCCTCTCATTGTGACTAGATCTGAGGGGTTTTCACTGTGAGGAACATGGTTTATATGTGTATTAATGACATTCTCCCTGTGGTCCAATGAACAGTCACATCTGCCTGTGGGAACCAGATGTTTGTATCCCCACTTTTTCTTAAGGAGCTTTTAAAGTTTTGTTTTAGACAGGTGTTCTCTTATGGATCTTGGTGTCCTGTGGAACATGTTCTTGTCAGCTCAGTTAGTTTATTTTTGCTGTCACTGCACTGAGTTGCCTGGACAGCATTCAAACTCCTCCTGCCAGCAGAGCTAAGGAAGAGGGAAGCTCTGAGTTAGGTAATGACAAGCAGTGCTGGTGGATGGGCATCCCACTGGTGCAGGTGTCCTGTGGGCACAGTGCCTGTTGTCCAGGAAATAGAGGAGTTGCAGGTTTCTTGTGTGTCCAGCTTGCAGCATTGGTCTCATCTATAAGGGCACAAAGAGTATATGAACTTTTTTACTAAAGACTACAGAAATCCCTTTTGGAAATTTTTAATGTACTTTGTTAAATCAGGGGTCCCTGCTTGCAAAAATAATTTAATTTCTCATTCTTTGTGTTTCTAGGTTTTTTGCAGCTCCCAAAGTGTGTTGTTAAGTAAGCTCAGATGCAGGCTGTGTACCTTATGCAGCTGGGTGGTTGCAAAGAAGACTAATACTTAAAAAAAACCCAACCACCCAAATAATTTAATTATTTGATTTTATTTAATTTTGAAGGCCATAATCTGGGGTAAAACAGATGTTTCCTTTTTGTATATTTTGTACACTGAGGATCATATCAAATGAGCAAATCTGTAGGTAGCTGTAAGCCTGGTAGGGCTATAAAACCCCAATATAAATGTCATATACACATTCTGACACATGCAAGCAAGGAAACAAACATACCCAAGGGGGAATAAAACTAGCACATGTGTAACTTGTGTGTTCTAAACTTTTAATTGTTTTGAATAAAATGTACTTGGTTACATAGGTTGGTCCCTTGGATGTTTTTTTTTTCCCCAAAAAAACTTAGATGTTCTTCGGATTTGTTTTCTTGTTGGGATGACCCTTTGTACTTTGAGATAGAGGTTAAGAAACACTTTGGATCATGTTGTGATGTTGCCATATCTTGTGATTTTTTTCATAAGAAAGCCCATGAAGGCTGTAATCAATGCTGGAGCTGCTGATGTTGTGTAAATGTCCAAGAATCTCAAGTTTCAATGTGTTCCCCTAAAAGAAGAGGCCAGGAAGGGGCCAGTTTCTGGCTTGTCTGTAGAGAAAGATTTGAAAACTGAAAATAAGTGTTTTCCTCACCTGTAGTGTACTATCCCAAAACTTTACTAAATTCTCATGGATCTTGGCTGGATCAAGGATTCAGATACAAAAAACCCCAGCATCTCAGAGTTCACTTTACCCCAACAAAGAGCAGCTCAGTTATGTAGCAGACCCAGACAGACACCTGTTTCTTCACTTTTTTTTGGTGCTAGGACAGGTGAATATGTAAGAAACAGAAACTCTTCTTCCCCTCATCTGTGAGCCAGGGCAAAGCCTTTTCTGAGAAAAAATATTAGGGAACTTGTTGAAAACAGTTTTCATTCTTTAAATTCCTTCTCTGCTGAGACACGGTGCTTATTTCACAGAAGTCTTGACAGCCTCAGTTTGGCAAGACCTGAGCTTTCTTTGTGGACAACTGGTGCTGTGTCATTCTTGTCTCCTATTCTCAAGGCACTGCTAAAGTTCCAACACAGTAAAATTATTTGCTTAGTAGGTGACTAACTGTATTTAGGGCTCATTTTGGTCTACCATCTTTAAACAGATTGTGGCCAAGGGAAGTGCAGTTTACAGCTTTATGGAAACCATTGCTTAGCATTAAATGCATGGATTATTTTGCCCTTCAATTTGGAGGCAATCAAAGGATGAAAAAACGCAGTTGTCAAGGAGAGAGGGAAATTTTGTATTTAAGGCAGTTAAGAGTCATGGCTTTAAACATCTTTTCTTTAGTGTTGTTTCTTATATTGTTTTTACTGATTCATCAGAAGGTAATAATTCTCACATTGCTGATTTAAACATGGTAAATATTTTTCCCACAAGGTAAAGCTAGGACAGCTTGGGCAAAGTGTCTTCTACATGAACACCCTTTTGTTCCTGCT